TATATGTATATGTATATGTATACGTATATATGTATGTGTATACATATACACACACACGCACACACACACATCATTTACATTTACATTTTGCATTATCTTTTCTTCTGTTATCTAACCAAACATACCATTTCTCCCAGACCGAATAGTCTTTTCTTCCTTCTCCTGCAATTCTATTGTAAATTTATTCATTTTTACACAATCTATAATTGCACCTCTTCCTGCTTAACGACCTGCACAGTGCTAGGGTTAGGACAGAAAGCAGGACTGCGAGGATTGTCATGTGCCTTGGGCTGTATGATCACTGTGACAAAAAGCCTGATCGCAATTACTGTCATAAGTCGAGGAGTACCTGCACTGCAGATGTGTTGCATTGTCCTTGAGATGCAGTGGTCTGTGAATCCAATCCCTTCATGATTTTAATATTCTTAGAGGCAACAAAAGTGGCCATCTTCACACATCGCCTTAAGCCAGAGTGTTCTTAATCACCAGAGTGTTAATTCTGTTGCTATGGCACCCTTGTTACACTAGCTGTCAAAAAGACAAGCTCCGTTGTGACAGGTCAGTAATGGAAACAATTGTGTCTAGTTCATTCAAACGTGTGTTGTTCCGCAAAGACAACATCCTTTGTCATATAATATACAACATACTCTCTGTCATATATGTTGGTATATGCATAATTTTGTATTTATTTTGTGATGTTTAGAAATAGAATAGAATTCTTTATTGGCCAAGTGTGATTGGACACACAAGGAATTTATCTTGGTGCAAATGCTCTCAGTGTACACAAAAGAAAAGATACATTCATCAAGAATCATAAGGTACAACACTTAATAATAGTCATAGGGTACAATAAGCAATCAAATCATACTAGGAAACAGTCCATATAAATCGTAAGGATACAAGCGACAAAGTTACAGTCATGCAGTCACAAGTGGGAGGGGATGGGTGATAAGGAGTGATGAGAAGATTAATAGTAGTAGTAGTGCAGATTTTTTGAATAGTTGGACAGTGTTGAAGGAATTATTTGTTTAGCAGAATGATGGTGTTTGGGGAAAAAACTCCTTGTGTCTAGTTCTGGTGTGCAGTGCTCTATAGCCTTGTTTTGAGGGTAGGAGTTGAAACAGTTTATGTCCGGGATGTGAGGGGTCTGTAAATATTTTCACATCCCTCTTTTTGACTCATGCAGTATACAGGTCCTCCATGGAAGGCAGGCTGGTAGCAATTGCTTTTTCTGCAGTCCTAATTATCCTCTGAAGTCTGGGTCTGTCTTGTTGGGTTGCAGAACCAAACCAGACAGTTATAGAGGTGCAGATGACAGACTCCATCATTCCTCTGTAGAACTGGATCAGCAGCTCCTTGGGCAGTTTGAGCTTCCTGAGTTGGCGCAGAAAGAACATTCTTTGTTGTGCTTTTTTGATGACGTTTTTTATGTTAAGTGTCCCTTTTAAGTCTTGAGATATAATAGAACCTAGAAATTTGAAGGTTAATGTAGTGTCTATTGGAGGTAGAGGCCCTTTTGAGAGCTGTATGCAACAGAATTTCATTTCAATGTATTCCGATTAGTGTACATTCAAAGTGACAATAAAGTTATTCTAAGTATTAAGTCTAAAGAACTACAACTCTCATATGCCCCAGCCAGCAGGGGAAGTGATAAATCACAGGTAAGGTGACCAACTTTTTTACAATGAGGAAGACACAAATAAATTGAAGAAAAAAAACAAAGCCACTTGTGCGCACTCTTGCGTGCGGGATAATTTTCTGCAGAGGTGACTTCTTCCTCATTCAAAACTACTCTCAGGTCACGTGATGGTGCCTCTTGGCTGGGCTGGGCTTCCTTCAACCAAGCTACCTGGAATGGTGGGGATCTTGGCCACTTTAAGACTGATGGACTTCAACTCCCAGAGTTCCTCAGCCAGCAAAGGAGTTGAAGTCCACAAGTCTTAAAGTGGCCAAGGTTGGAGACCCCTGGGATAGGAGACCGAGGGGGATCTCCATGAAGGACGCCCCTGCAGTGTAGGACAGCATTGCATTTCCTGCGTTGGAGCAGCTTGGTTTGCCTTGACTGCAGTAAAGGATAGGAACAGCCTTGCTTGCTCCCTGACGAGTTTTACCAGCAGGGCAGAAGTTGGTTTTCCCAGCATGTCCCCACACCCTGGGATTACCTGGTTGTCTCCTTTTCCAAGATGAAACTAATTTTTTTTCTTTTTCTTTTTGATACCGGCCAAAGGACCCGGCCTCCGTGCCCAACCTAAACAAGCCTCTTCCTGGGTTTTTTTGCCATCCTGACGACGACCTTCTAAAAGGGGTTTGAGCAGGAGAAAACCTGGCATTTCTACATCTTGGGAGATTCTCAGTCCTCTAAGTCATGATTGTCCCAAAGGTATGCTTTTTTTTCAAGAGGCAACTTTGGACTTTCTGGTTTTTCTTTGAAGACGTTTTGTTTGAAGACTCTTCAGACTGAAGAAGCTTCTTGGATGAGAAGCGAAACGTCTCCAAAAGAAAAAGTGGCCAGTGGCCTCTTGAAATAAGCATCTTTGGGGCATAAAGACACATGCTTTTTTTCAAGAGGCAACTGGGCTTTCTTGTTTTTTCTTTGAAGACATTTCACTTCTCATCCAAGAAGCTTCTTCTGCTCTGACTGGATGGTGGCGAATGGAAGGATTTATACCCTTTGCAGATAGCTGGTCATTTGCATCCTTTTACAGAGCCGTTGAAGCACTTGGAGGTTTATCTGTATCCTCAGAGTTTGCAATTGTTTCCTCTGGAAATCCATTTCTAATCCCACATCAGAATTAGAATTAGAATAGAAAATTGAACAGAAAATAGAATAGAATAGAATAGAATATAGTATAGAATAGATAGTATAGTATAGTATAGAATAGAATAGAATAGAATATAGTATAGAATAGAATAGAATATAGAATATAGAATATAGAATAGAATAGAATAGAATAGAATAGAATAGAATAGAATAGAATAGAATAGAATAGAATACTTTTATTGGCCAAGTGTGATTGTACACACAAGGAATTTGTCTTGGTGCAAATGCTCTCAGTGTACATAAAAGGGTGTTTTATTCATTATTCATTATTTATTTCGTTCAAAGGGTGTTCGCCCCTTATTGTACAGCCAAAACTCTGTAGAGATTCTCAGTCATCCTGGCTGACCCAAAGGTGCGTTTTCAAGGGGCAACTGGACTTTCTTGTTTTTTTCTTTGAAGACTTCTCATCCCAGAACCTCCTTCAGCTCTGACTGGATGGTGGGGAATGGGAGTCAGAGTTAAAGAAGCTCCCTGGATGAGAAGCGAAACGTCTTCAAAGAAAAAAATCAGAAAGTTCAGAATTGCTTCTTGAGGGGGGGGCGAAGGAGGGAAAGCACCTGGGGCCTCTCTACATTTTTTTTTAAGTTTACGATGCGCGGGACCTCTCGCGAGAGGACGCGAGGCGTCCGCTTGGGGAATTCCCACGCGCCCGCGTTCTGCTCACCTCCGGAAGCGGAAGCCCATCTCAAGAAGGCGGGCTCCACTGCTTCCGGTTCAGCCGGTTGGCGGTTGGCGGCTCGCTTGGTAGGAAGTCTGGAGAAGGTAGAACTTTCCGCGGGGGGCAGCCGCGACCCTTGCCGAGAAGAGAAGGTGCCGCAGCGGGATAGTTTGGGCACGGGAGGGCGGGTGGGGTGGCCTTCCCTGGGAGCTGGGAGGCTTCTCTCTGGCGCAGGTGGCTCCTTTGGGAAGGGAAGCTTCGCCTGCCCCGGTCAGTCCTTGGATGGGAGGCCACCAGGAGACCCGACGCGCGGGCGACAAGCTTTTCTGACACGGCACTTCTGTCTCCCGTCTTTCCCTCTGGCGACCACCCTGCGAGGTGGACTGGGCCAGGGGCCTCCAACCTTGGCCGCTTTAAGACTGGCGGACTCCAACTCCCAGAATTCCTCAGCCAGCAAAGCTGGCTGAGGAATTCTGGGAGTTGAAGTCCGCCAGTCTTAAAGCGGCTGAGGGAGGCCTCGGCCCCAAAGGGGGTCTAGGTCAATTCGCCCCAGGACAGCTCGCTGCGGGACAAGAGTTACTCTAATATCCAAGGTGATGGTGGAACAGAATCCTTAAAAGAAAGGATACCAAAGGGAGGGGGCAGAAAGAAAATGTGAAAGGTGAAAATTTAAAATGTTATTTTAAAATAATAAATAAAAATAATGAAGCAGAAATGTTAAATTGTCCCGCAGCAAGTTGGCTGTGGCAAGTTGTCCCATTCTCCCGGCCCAAAGTCCCCTAGCTGGATTTCATATCTTAAGACCAGGCTACAACTCAACATCTCCTGCCTTAGCTTAGGCTGAGTGATGGCATGTATGTGTGTGCATGCACATATGTGTGTGCGTGCATGCACATATGTGTGTGCGTGCATGCATATACTATGCATATCATGCAGGTATAGAACAGGCAGCACCTGGCTAAACAGCACTAGGCGTCCTAGTGAATGATCCCTTAAATATGAGCCGGCAGTGTGCAGTGGCAGCCAAAAAAAAAAAAAAGCCAGTGCAATCCTAGGCTGCATTAACAGAGGGGTACAGTCAAGATCGTGTGAAGAGATAAGAACCCTTTATAAGGCCTTGTTAAGACCACACTTAGTGTACTGCATCCTGTTTTGGTCGCCACGATATTTAAAAAAAAAAACCTCTACAAAGAGTGCAGAAAAATGTAAAAAAAGATGATTAAGGGTCTGAAAGCTAAAACGTGAAGAACAGTTTCAGGAATTGGGTATCACTGAATTTTGGGATGTCATTTAGCTCTGCAAAGGTTTCAGAATTCTGCTCTTCATCTTTATATTTCCTCTTCCTCTTTTTATTGATATTTTCAGGTTTTAAGCATTCTTGAGGCAACATGATAGATCCTGTTGAAAACAATTTATCTGATCTTCCTGATTATGAACACACCCATGATGAGACCTTTCAGCCTCTTCTACCCCCAGACTCTCCAGGGGGGGTAGCGGAAGGTGCCTTACTCAATGGAGGTAACTATTCTCTTGACAATTGAAATATTATGCATTTATTTGTGAATAAGCCTTACATGATTTGTTGGGAGTTTCTCCAAAATATACATGCATATAAATGATCAATGCTTAGTAATACCAGTTTTTTTAAAGAGGAATTCATTTTATATATAATTATATGCATGCATACATATATAGCCATTACGCTGCACATGGCAAAGCTGTGGCAAAACCTCCTGAACTAGTGTACATATTTTCTACCTTTCTGCTTTCAAGGTTCAGCTTTCACAGCCTTTTCTTATATGGACTTGATAGGACGTATCCTTGTTGGCAAGAATGGTCTCTTCATTTTAATATTTACTCAAGTAGCAGATGCTCCTCTCTGCTATGGCCCTGGGAAATCATCCTTGCACATTTTGAGCCTGGGGAGAGGTTGACCCTGCCTCAGTTCTTTTAGTATTGACTAGCATGTTAGCTTTGGCATTCTCTTTTTGCTTCTACATAGGTTTTAGCTAGATCTGTTTCCTAATACATGAACGATTTCATGACGAAAATCCAATAGGCACAATTTGTGTTCCTAGTTTTAGAATTGAATTCTATTCTATTCATCAGATCCAGAGGGAAATCAGTTGACACAAAACAAGGATTCTTCTGTGACCACAAGAAGAGCTGTTAAAAGAACAATACCTAAATTAGATGCTCAAAGGTATGTAGTCACTTTTTACTTTCTGTATGGTGCATATCCTTTAATATTATTTTTTTTACACGAGCCTCAGTTATGCTATTTTAAAAATGGTTTTCCTGATGCCACACTTCTGGAACAGAAATGATTGGGTATTTTTCCCCCTCTGTTGGCTTGTTTCGTGTCCTCCCAAGGTTATGAGAAACCTCTTCGTGCTGAGTGTTGGGGCATCCCTCAGCGGTCTGTAATGTCCACTAGAAACACTTGTGCTTCTCCCATTTGGCTGTGGGATTGCCCTGACTCGCTTCAGGGATGTTAACATCTGATTTCTAGCTCTTAGATTATGCAGGCAGTCCTTGACTTACAACCATTCATTTAGTGATCGTTCAAAGTTACAGTGTCACCGAAAAAAGGGACTTGTGACCATTTTTCACACAACCCTTGCAGCAGCATCATGATCCCACGATCAAAATTCAGACAGTTGGCAACTGACTCATATTTATGACGGTTGTAGTGTCCTGGAATTACATGATCCCCTTTTGCGACCTTCTGCAAGCAAAGGTCAATGGGGAAGCCAGACTCACTTAACAAGCGAATTACTAACTTAACAACTGCAGACATCCACTTAACAACTTTGTGGCAAGAAAGGTCGTAAAATGGGGCAAGACTCACTTAACAACTGACTCGCTTAGCAACAGAAACGTTGGGCTCAATTGTGATCGCAAGTCGAGGATTACATATAATTTGTGTAAAAAAAAAACCATCGAGACTTTTTTCCGTTCTTACGTAAAATGTGTTGATTTGGAAATGCTGGGTTCAAAATGTCCTCTTCCTTTTATGAACCCTGCTGGACCTCCAAAGTGGGGTGCTGGGAAGTTGGTTAAATGGCTTGAAAAGTAAATTCTCTAAAATGAAAACGGTTCAAAGCATTCCAGAGAGAACTCCCCAGCTGAAATTACTCAAAAAGTATTTTCAGATGCCACTAGTGGCCAGTTTTAAGTTTCTGGGTGTTACCCTAAAAGAGGACCTGACCTGGGATGCTCCCATTGCAGCCCTGGTCAAAAGGGCCCAGCAGAGATTAGACTACCTGAGACTTCTCAGAAAACAACAACTGAATGAAAAACTGCTGGTGACCTTCTACCGCTGCACCAGAGAGAGCATCTTAACTTACTACACCTGTGTAGGGTTTGTCAATTGCACAGTGGCAGATAGGAAAGCACTCCAGAGGGTTAATGTCATTGCTAAGAAGATCATGGGTTGCCTTCTCCCCTCTTTGGAAGAGCTTTAGAGTTCCTGCTGCTTCAAGAAAGTTCAAAACGTTCTCAAAGATCCATCTCACCCTGGGCATCCCCTTTTTTTGAACTATTACCATCTGGCAGCCGGTACAGGACAATAAAAACAAGGACAAATAGGCTGGAAAACAGCTTCTATCCCAGGGCAGTAGCTCTTTTGAATTCTGCTGTATAGTGCAGTGTTAGTGCGGTGTCGTCGGGGTTTTCAATTCAATGTGTGGAGTGTGAAGGGTGTGTGTTTGTGTTTATTTTCATGGTCATGATGTGCACTGAAGATGGTGTTTGATTTCATTGTAGGAGGTGCAATGACAATAAAGTAAACTAAGTAAACTAACCTATTTCTCAGTTTAGCAAGGATTGGTAGTCTTAATAGACGAGTCTAAAAGGGTTGTCCTATTTGTCACTGTCATTCAATTGCACCATATCAATTGATCAAAGCAGAGCAACAAAGCCTGTTGGCTGGGCCAAGGACTAAGGCCCCTAAAGTGTTGGCTTTCTCTTTCAAGATCTTGGATGATGGAGTGCCTTATTTATGATATTTTCCAAGTAACTGGAGACCCTTCTAATGTTTGCAGATTGATTTCAGAGCGAGGACTTCCAGCTTTGTGCAATTTGTTCGACAACGTAAATTTCAAAGGTAAAGGTCACGAGGTAAGAAATGGCTGAGAAAGAGTTTGCGGGTTTTTGTAGTTGTTTCATCCATATGTAGTCTGCAGTATGTCGAAGTTGTAATGTTCAAAGATGGAAGTTTGTCTTTAATGTACAGGTTGGCGTTTTCGGAGCTTCCATGCCAGTCTGTTTAGCTTTATTTGAAGTTGTATAGAATTGATTATTTTAAGTAATTTTTGTGTGATGCTATACTTCTGCAAGATAATCTGTATAATAATGAAACGACAGACATCCTTGACTTACAACCACGATTGAGCTCCAAATTTCTGTTGCTAAGTGAGACAGTTGCTAAGTGAAGAGAGTTTTACGACCGTTCTTGCCACAGTCGTTAAGTGAATCCAGTTGGTAAGTTACTAACATGGTTGTTCAGTGGCTTCCCCATTGACTTTGCTTGTCAGAAGGTGGCGACGGCTGATCACCTAGGACACTGCAACCGTTGTAAATATGAGTCAGTTGCCAAGCACCTGAATTTTGATCAGTTGTCCATGGGGGATGCTGCACCGGTCGTAAGTGTGAAAACCGTTCCTAAGAGATGGATCGGTGGGCTTGAGCAAGGGGCTGGACTAGAACAAGAAGAAAAAGAAAATAAGCTCAGACTAACAGCCTCCTGACTTGAAGGCCACCCTAGCCTGGTCTTCATGGCCTTTTAGAAGGCTAAAAAGGGAGGGTTCCCTCCAGTCTGCTGTTGCTACGCTGGTCAAATGTATTCTCCTTTATTTAGGAAGCTGACCTGAGGACGCTTATAAGGCACATGGAACATTGGGCCCACCGCCTCTTCCCTCAACTTCCCTTTGAAAACGTTGTGGAAAGAATAGAGAGCTTGGGAAATAAAAAACCTGTTCAGGTGACTGTTAACAACGGGATTACTTTGGGTGGGATGAAGCGCTTAAGGGAAAGCTTACGCCTCTTGACCTGGGATGAATAGTGTTACCTTTGCCCCTCCAGGCGTGCTTAAAGAGAATTCGACTTGATCTCCCTCTTTTGAACGAAGACTTCAGAAGTCACGAAGGCACGTATGGCTTTAAAATATTGGCACTCGATTCTTTTTGCTTGAATTGATCAAAGGTAAAATGCCCCCGAGAAATAATAATAAATAATAAAGTCATAAATAATAATAGGCCAGGATGTTTAGTCGTTAGGTATTAGAAATCCATAGTCCTCAGTTAAAATTAACAAGAATTTATGCTAAGTAAGTCATAACTGTTAAGCACGTAGCATAGGTAGACGTCAGCTTTTGATCATGGATTTCTCATGCTAAGCAATTCAGGTGTTAAATGAGAAGCACTTGATTTTATCATCTTTTTGGGGGAGGGCTATGGTGGTTAGGCAAATTTCACTGTGGTTAAGTGAATCACATGGCCATTAAGTGAATCTAGTATCGACTAAAAATATACTTCTTTGGTCTTTTTAGTTGCCAGCAGAAAAGGAGTGGGGGGAAAGCAGTGCATTCTTTAAATGCTTCAGATAATCGCCTTGGCAGCCGAAGCTGTTGGTGTGCAAGATTATTACTGGAGAGCATGATTGATGATTCTTGGCTATGGATGTGTCCCATTGGAGAATATACACCCGGGGGTAGGGGGAAGACCAGGGTCAAGGGGGAAATGAACGATGTATTTTAGTGTCGGCTGCACCCAGCTAACGCCAACATGGCCATTCCTAATAAATCAGTGCGGCTAGAGACTTATAATTTGAACGGGGATGCATGTCGGAGTCCTGACATCTAGCTTCTTCTGTTGTTTTTGCTTGTCAGCAGCCAGCTGGGATGGTCACAAATGGTCCATCGCAAGACTCAAGACACTGCAGTTGATGTACAGGTAGTCTTCAACTTACGACCATAATAGAGCCCAAAGTTTATGTTGCTAAGTAAGACATTCATTAAGTGAGTTTTATCCCCATTTTACGACTTTTCTTGCCGCAGTTGTTGCGAATTGCTGCAATTGTTAAATTAGTAAAATGGTCATTAAGTGAATCTGGCTGCCCCTTGACTTTGCTTGTCAGAAGGTCGCAAAAGGGGATCACGTGACCCCAGGACACTGCGACCGTCATAAGACCGCCAAGCGTCTGAATTTTGGTCACGTGGCCGTGAGGATGCTGCAATGGTCATAAGTGTGAAAAACGGTCATAAAGTCACTTTTTTCAGCGATGTAACTTCAAACGGTCACTAAACGAACTGTTGTAAGTTGAGGACTACAGTGTAAATACACACCAGTGGCCAAGTGGCCAAATTTTGATCACATAACTATTGACGATGCTGCAGCAGTTGTAAGTGTGGGGATCGGTCGTAAGTTCCTTTTTTCAGTGCCGTTGTAACTTTGAACACGCAAAGGGTTGTAAGTTGCGGACTACCTGTAGTTTGTATTGAGTAAGCCTAGAAGATAAACGCCTGTGCGTGTTTATTAATAAATGTTTCGTTGGGTAAGAGCAGAATAATCCCAGTTCCAGGATAGCCCGCCCCAACCAGGTGCTTTCCATATCAGTTGGAATCCCTTTTCCCAAGAATTCCAGCTATCGCGTCATGCCTCTCTCGGAATCTGATTCGGAGGAGGAAGCCGAGCAGCTGACGGGGTGAGAGTGTGGCTCCATTGGCTGTGGAAGAAACTGGGGAAGGGCACAGTCCGGCTGGGCAGAGCAGGAGAGAGGTAGAGTAAGGGAGAGGGAATTCGGAGGAAGACCCAGGCCCACCCCCTCTTCATCCTAGGGCATGCAGGGTGGAACGGAGGAGAGAGCAACATGGGTTGAATGGCTTACGGGGGAGGAAAGGGCCCTGATTCCCTTCATTAGCTGCAGCTGGGAACACAGTGTTTAAAGAGGAAGCTGCGCACACCAAGCTGTTGGGAGCAACTCGTGAATTATCTGGTACCGTTGAGGCTTATCGGTGTTCCTGGCGTCTTCCCAACTGTGTATGTTTTTCTGTGCTTTCAAGTCTGCAATTCCTTCTCCCGCCCTGTCAAGTTAATTGCTACAGCTTTGTTTGTTTGGATGTTTAGTTACAGTTTGTGTGTACTTTGTGTTCGGAATGAATTTTCTCCAGTCAAAGGCTGATCCTGGGAGAGTTTTTCTCCAGCCGAAGGTAACCTGGACCTTGGGGGCAAAGTTGCAGATAATAAAGGGACTCTTCTTGCTTATTTGGCTGTGTTGCCTTTGTGCCACGCCCCTTTGGGTCATCACATTTTGGTTAAGAATCATCTAGTTCAGTGATGGTGAATCTTTTGGGCACTGAATGCCCAGACTGTAACGCATGTGCATGCTGGAGTGCCGGAAAACCAAAGATAAATTGGCCAAGTGTGCGCATGGCTGTTTTTTTGGCTGTTTTCCGGGCTGTTTTTGGCCTGCAAAATGGCCTGCAAAAGGCCCGGAAAACAGCCCAAAAAACCAGCCTGTGTTTTTAACCAATTTTCATGCCGTTTTCCGCTGCCCCAGCACCTACAAAGACCAGCTGGTACCAGAAACCAGGAGTGCAGGTGGCGACAGGGTGCATGCCCACTGAGAGGGCTGTGTGTGCCACCTCTGGCATGTGTGCTATAGGTTGGCCATCACGGATCTAGCTCTTTCTTCATGAGGAGTACAGCTAGTCCTCGACTTACAACCACAATTGAGCCCAACATTTCTATTGCTAAACAAAACATTTGTTAAGTAAGTTTGGTCCCGTTTTTTGACCTATCTTGCCTTGTTATTTGATTCACTTGTTGCTGAATGAATCACTGCAGTTTTTTAAAAATTAGTAACACGGTTGTTAAGTGAACCTGGCTAGGTCAGGGGTGGGCAATTAATTTTTCCCAAGGGCCCCACATAAGAAAGTAAGTCTGTTGTAGATGGCGTCTGCCACCTCACTGCCACCGTCTCGGGGTGGACAGGAACAGACTACAAAGAGATGGATGGGGGCCAGGATCATAAAAGGCCCAGGTCTGTAATAGGTAGAAATATTGGAAATCATTAGAACACTGGTGAATTTGATGAAATTTCTTCAAAATTGGGTTAAGAATGACTTTGAGAGTGTGTGTGAAGAGACAAAACAGTGGAATTGGGAAGAAATTCAGTTTCCAACAATTGAAGGCCAAGGAAAACTTCTTTTCTTTTTTGATAACCAGAGTTGGAAGGATCCTTATAGGTCATCTAGTCCAACCCCCTGCCCAAGCGGGAGAGCCTACAGCCTACACCATTTCTGACAAATGGCAGTCCAATCTCTTCTTGAAGGTCTCAAATGATGGCGCTCCCATAACTTCTGGTTATGCTGTACCATTGGCTGATTGTTCTCACTGTCAAGAAAGTTTCTCCTTATTTCCAGGTTGAATCTCTCCTTGTTCAGTTTCCATCCATTGTTCCTTGTCTGGCCTTCAGGTGCCTTGGAAAATAGTTTGACCCCCTCCTCCTCCCTGTGGCAGCCCCTCAAATATTGGGACATTGCTTTCCTGTCTCCCCTGGTCCTTCTCTTCACTAGACGAGCCATGGCCAGTTCCTGCAACCGTTCGTTGTTTGTTTGAGCCTCCACTCCCCTAATCCTCCTGGTTGCTCTTCTCTGTATTTTTTCTAGAGTCTCAACATCTTTTTTATGTGGTGTCCAAAACTGGATGCGGTATCTAGATGTGGTCTTACTAGGGCTTTATAGAGTGGTATTAGTACCTCCCCTGATCTTGATTGTATCCCTCTGTTAATACAATTTATAATTGCATTTGCTTTTTTGGCTGCTGCTGCACACTGCTGGCTCCTATTTAGCTGGTTGTCCACTAAGACTCCAAGATCCCTTTCCCAGTTACTGCTGTTGAGCCTGGTTTCACCCAGTCTGTATGTGTCCTTTTGGTGTTTCTTGCCTAAGTGTAGGACTATCTCAGACTGTTAAAAGGAGTTGTTTTATTCTCTTCATTCAGTACCGTTCAACTTGGGAGGTGGCCTAGAAAGAAAATACATTTCAAGTACAAAACACGTGGCTGCAATAAATATCGGTTGTATTTGTAAGCAATACAATACATCCCCAGGTAGCCACGCACATTAATGCGATGGTTCCTGCCGACAGCGTCTGTCTAGTTATCAGATTTCTGTGCGATGGTTCCATACATTCATTTATGAAAGAATTGGGGTTGCAAGGAAAGAAAAACGATGTGTCTGTGGTTGCTTCGGTATGGATCCCAAAAAATATAGAAACAGTTGGTTTTTACAACTAGGTTTCTTTATTCTCATTCACATCCAACAAAGTCCTGGCAAACAGTCTTTCAAGAGTGATTTACAACTACAGACCTTATTAGCTTGGAGAGTTGCCAGGCCGATAGCTTCCAAGCACAACGTTGTAGCAGAAAATACTTGGCAAGGAGTCACGACCAAATCTTCACTCTAATTAAATGAACTCCTGCAAACCCCACTCCCCTTTTGCTCCTCTTTATTCCCTATGGGAGGGGCCATTCACCATCCACCTATGACTTTACTCCTGAGCCGACCCTTGTTCCTTAGCTGTTCCCTTCTTCTGGCAGCTCTGCGCATGTGCACACTGGGAACAGGCTCCAGCTGTTCTTCTGCCCCACTGATCTCCAACTCCAAAGGCAGCTGACAACTGTTGGACGGCCCTGGCCCCATCTCTGCCTTGGACACAGAGCCCTCGTCAGAGCCTCCCCCAGACTCCAGGACTGGCCCATGCTCCTCCCCAGCCTCCTCACTGTCCGAGTCTGCTGCCAGCTCCACTGGCAGGCCATAAACAAGATCGAAGAATAAATAAATAAAGGAACGTTTCCTGAAAAGAGGCCATATTGATTTGGGCCTTTCTACCAGCTTAACTGTAGAGGTTGCCTAGATCAATGTTTCTGAACTTCAGCAACTAAATTTGTGTGGACATCAACTCCCAGAATTCCCAGGATGATGTAATGCAGGGGTGTCCAACCTTGGCAACTTTAAGACTTGTGGACTTCCAACTCCCAGAATTCCTCAGCCAGCAAAGCTGGCTGAGGAATTCTGGGAGTTGAAGTCCACAAGTCTTAAAGTTGCCAAGGTTGGACACCCCTGATGTAATGTGAAGTTAAACAAATAAAATGAATAGGTAACTATGGTCATGTTTGTATTGAGATGTGAAACTTGGAACCATACTGCTTGCAAAAAGAATGAGAATTCTTTAATTAAAAAAATAAAATAAAATGAAAACGGAGAAAATTGAATAATGGAATTACTAACTGATATGGTGGTAGGCATCTGGAGAGAGTAAGGTTGAAAATAAATATGGAAGAAGTATGAATTAATATGAATATATGCAATGAGAAATGTATGATATATTGATGCCACACTGTTAATGTATTGTTATATGTAGATTGAAATTAAAAAAAAAAAAAGGGAAAAAAACCTCCCAGAATTCCCCAGCCAGCCATGCTGCCTGGGGAATTCTGGGAGTTGAGGTCCACACAGCTTAACGTTGAAAAACACAGACCTTGCTGATAGCTGATTAATAGTGATCCTCTTCCATCTAAAACAGGTGAAGAAGATGAGAACAATAGACACAGCCCGGCCACCGAAGAACCAATTTTCCTTCCCGAAACACAGAATTCCCCAAAAGAATCTGGTTCTCCCTCTTTAAGTCCTGCCCTGACCGAGGAGCAACAGCAGAGAATCGAAAGGAACCGACGAAGAGCCCTTGAAAGAAGACAGGCTAAAAACCAGCTCAGTCAATCTCCAAACGATGGTGAGGTCTAAGTGTCAACCGTGAAAGACCGAGGCAGTTGGGGGACACTAGAATTCTCAGATTCCTGCTCAAAAGTCAGTTTTAAATCGTTTAAACCAGGGGTCCCCAAACTTGGCCACATTAAGACTTGTGGACTCCAACTCCCAGAATTCCCAGAGAGGTTTCCATCCCTCAAATGCTGCTTTCCTGAAGGACGAAGAGTCTTGTTTTAAATAATATTTTTCATATTATTATTAAATAATAATAATTTAAATGAGTGGAATTTTGATGACAGTGGCTGGAGGGAATTTTCATATTTGTGTTGCTGGAATTACCGATTCAGGCTGTGGTTGAAAGTCGATGCCTCTTGATTAATTTGGTCTTTGAAAAAAGGGCAGCCAATCGATCTCCATTTAATGGTAACATTTGGGAGTAACTACAGTAGTGGAAAAAAGGCAAGCCTCTTAATCCACGTTGTTGGGAGACCAAGATTCATGCCAGTCAGTTGTAGGGTGTGTTTAAATCAGGGATGGGCAGCTGTGGCCCCTTGATGGCCTGTGGACTTCAGCTCCCAGAATTCCCAAGCCAACCTTGATGTGGTTTATTAAGGCAGCGTCCCCTTTTTTTTCCCTGAAAAAATCTGATATAGTTTACAATGGTGTTTTTAGTTTAGTTTTTGGACCCCTGGCAAAAATGCAGGAGGGCTGCCACAAACGGTGCCTGGGCTGTAAACTGGTGTTCGCCCAATACAACCATCCCAGCTGTTGGCTGCATGGCTCCAATAATTATTTTCAATGTGGCTGTAGAGGAATATTACTAAATACATACATAAGTTAATTAACTATATATTGAAAGTTTTTTTTTCCTCCTGTCAAATTGTGTCCAATTTTCAGAGACTGTACAGTTTCCTTGGCAAAGCTTTTCAGAAGCGCTTTGCCATTGCCTCCTTCCTAGGGCGGAGGGAGAGTGACTGGCCTAAAGTCACCCAAATGGCTTTATGCCTAAAGTGAGACTAGATCCCCTGGTTTCTAATCCAGTACCTTCTCCACTACCCCAAATGGGTCATCTTGAAATTTTACTTGGGCTTTAATCCCCTGTATTTTGGGCCCCAAACTTCTTTCTTTCCGAGTCCTTCCACTGTGGACTTCTAGCCACCTAAATGGTTGTGCACCTTTGGTGCAAGTATTTGGGGTGAAGCTGGGAACAAAGAAACAGCTCAAGGTTTCTTAGGCTTTGTGCTATTTAAACAGCGCAAGATTCTGATTTGAGAATTCTGGCAGAGCCTGATTCTATTGGACTTGGTTATAGTCCTCCATGGAAATCTTCTAATAATCCGTATGCACGTTCAGATTTTTTTAAAAAAACAAGTATTTTCTGCAAGTTGATACTTTAGTGATAATTATTTCCCATTCTCAACTAAAGAGATTATTTTCACTTCATAAAACTCAGGAAGCAATTGACCAGCTGGAAAACTCTGCCATGGCAATTATGTCAGAGGGGAAAAAGCTGATGCACAAATCGTGATTTTAAAGCCAACTTTTTGTTTCCTTTAGATTTGCCTACCAGTGAAGAATACGGCCCCATTACAGCTCAGGAGAAGGATGAGGTCTGCGTAGACAAAGTTGTTGGCGTCCCTTTTCAACCTACGGAGGACATGCAAAGTAGTACAGATCAAGTGTCTTTTTAATTGTGTGGAATAGGAATAGCATAGTTTTGTTTTTACGGCAACTTTAGATGTCGAGGCTGGTTAATTTGGCAGCTGCTATAATTTCCAGTGTTTTCTGTTATGCCAACGTTTTAAAGAAGTGTTTTCATTTCAGTGAAAGAACATTTTAAGCTTTAAACATTTGTACAGCAAATTTTAATGAAAACTATACATAAAAGTCAAATGATGCTATATTTCTACACTTTAAATCTTTTATAACTTTCCCATTGTGAAATATTTGTAATTGCCCATATTTTATACTGGAAATGAAAATAATAAATCTTGTAAACTAGAACGAATATATAACCTGAAAAAAAATCTATTAATGTTGTAATTGCTGGTTAAAAGCTATGATTGTCTTCTAGAAATTGATGTCCAGATATTCTGGATTTAAAGGCACGAACGAAAGGATATGCAGAGTGAACTAAAATCATGAAAGACTACTATCATGTCACCCCTAATTCTTCTTCATGTATTTGTCTCCTGGCCTTTGATCACCTTAGTTGCTCTTCTCTGAACTTTTTCCAAAGTCTCAACATCTTTTTTTGTAGTATGGTGACCAAAATGGATTGCAGTGTTGTTCCATTTCATGCAGGTTACAACTAATACTTAGGCCTTTTTTCCTCTCCTGTTGAGTCATGTCCAATTCTCAGAAACTGCTTGGAAAAGTCCCTACGGTTTCCTTGATGAGGATTTCCAGAAATGATGCACTATTGCCTCCTTCTTAGGTCTGAGAAAAAGGGACTGGCTCAAGATTACTCAGCTAGGAGGACTAAAACTCAGCAGTCTCCCGGTTTCTAGCCCGATACCTTAATGTCTGTCTGGTTCCAACTTATACCTAGAGACTGGATTTAAAATATCCCACATATCTGATGTGGGGAAAGAAAGTACAGGTTTGGGTCAGACTCGAGTCCTGATGGAACATGTCTCTGCTTTTTTCTTGGAGGGAAACTCAAAATGTGCTTATATACCTCTCTAGGATTTCAGAGTGTTTTGCTTCCTGATGTAAGTTTCAAACCACAGATTTCCTGGAAAGGTAAGAAATAACCCCACCTGTATTTGTGTTCCTAGCCTAGACAGGTTTACTACCCATCATACAAAAACAGAACGAGGAATATCTTTTTATTTTTCCAAACCACTTTTGTAAAAGCACTGTACAATGTGGACACTCACTTCTGGAACCAGTCAAGTTTGACAGACACTGTCAGTTAAACTTTCCATCCCTCCCCCCCCCCCCCTTTTTTTTTTCCTTCTTGGCTGCTAAATGCAGAGTTCAAACAAGGTCATGAAATCTTTGGTCCTTCCACTGAAAGTGATGCTTGCCAGCTTTGATAGTTGTTGGGGAAGGAGAAGACATTTTTATTGCTTCCACAAATTCATATGAATTAAATCTTGGCAATTCCTGGACCTTTTCTGAGACATAAAAGCTCGCTTCACGTATTATGCCAAGCTTGTGTGAACTCACTTGAGTGCTTGGGCTACAGGGGAAAGTCAGGCGTGTGAATGATAAGAGTTCTACCCTCAACTAAAGAGCACATGGTATTATGAACAGCAGCTAAGACACTGAGGTTCAGATCAGTCACCAGCATTTTAGTGTGTTTAGACTAGAGAATACAACCTATGAGGTTAGTACATGGTCCACTGCAGATCCAGAACATTGGGTTAACCATTCGTAATTTGTATTGTGCAAATCCAGGTGTTTTTGTGCTTTTAATAAAGAAATTAGGATTCCTACAAAGAGGCCTTGCAAACCCAAGTTTCAACATAAGAAAATAGCATATCTGAGCATCAAAAATTGCTTGGCTTTGCTTCCTGTAGACTTCAAAAACTCTTCAAACACTAAGCAATTCTCTGTTTACAAACAAAGTTTTTTTTTTAAAAAAAAGACTGAACTAAATTTGTTCTTACAGCTACATCTGACTATTTCCTGACATTTATATACTGTATATCCAAGTATCTGCATGTCAAACAACTAAAAAAGATTAAATAACGGTACTGTATCTCAGTGTTTCTTAACACAAGCAGCAACTTTTAAGTTGCATAGACTTGATTCCCAAAATTCCTAAGCCAGCATGCCGGCTAGGGAATACTGGGAGTTGGCATCCATGATCTTAAAAGTTGCCGAAGTTGAGAAACACTATACTACCCATTAAAATAATTTAAAGCAGCTCACTTAATGTAGATCTCTACACAGTCAAAATTACCAAGCAGGAGTATTTTAAAGAATTAAGACGCTACATCATCACTTAACTCCCTGAGGTGCTCAAGAACTATTTATACTTCTCGGTATTTCATTTGTAAAAGACAAAGCATATCTTCCGTGAGCAATAATGCAATCTTAAAAATAGAATCTCCATAATTTTTTTAGATAAACAACACTGTAATAATAAATTTACAACTTTAAAAGAAAGATAAGCTGAGAAAAGAGATTTTGGGCACAGAAGCCGTGTGACATGAGGTGTCATGCGCCATGGTCTGCCGATACATCCAAGAGAGACAAATCCTTGATTTCTTCTAGCAGGTGATACAAACTCCACTTGCACTGGGTCTGCCGATACTCTTCATCAAATCCTTCCTTTACCTGGTTTGCTTTGGCCAGATTCTGTGCCAGTTGCGTTTCCTCTGCTGTCTTGGTGACTTCCCTTACCAAGTCCGTTCTAGACATCTGGGGCCTCTGAGATGGTTCCGTTTCCGACGTCTCGTACGGCTTGCAGCTGGTGATCTGAAGCTGGATCCTGTCTGCGTGGCAGCGAGATGCCTGTACAGAGATTTTCACCTGGGTAGAAAAAACAACTCTGAGTATCAGTCCCTTTTGTCAGACCTCCTTCAATAAAAACGACCCTTGGCTCCCGTTTAGCTGAGAAAGGTCTAGTTTTATCCGAAATCAAGCTTATCGTAGTCATGAAAAGCCAGAACTGAAAATTGCACGCTAAAATCCCTTAGTTCAACACTGCCCACCTCCCCAATAGCTGCCTCCCATTACTCACCCACCCCCGGGCAACCAATGAGGTTGAAGCAAGAGGTTTTCATAACGGACAATACAGGCACACTGAGATACAGCTGGTATGCCGGATAACCTTGAAGCAGCATCTCAAGGAGATAACAGAGCTTACTTTCAGTTTCCCCCCCAAGCTTCCCCATTACATTTTCCCCCCGCTCCCCACCATTCCTTGTAGCCTTGTCACCAAATAGTAGTGAAGCACAACCGAGCATAACAGCTGACACTTGCTCGTTTCCATAAACAGATGGTGCCTGTTGTAAAAGCAGCGCCCCCCTCAAGCTTTTGAGCAACAAGGACCAGTGGAGGGAGGTTTTCCCACAGACCAGGAAGGGGGCGTGGTTTCGCTTTGCTTGCGTGGCCCAGTTCCTGATGGACCGTGGACCGATGCTGCAGCATGGGGGGTTGGGGACCCTGTCATCAAGAGGCATCACTTACGGTCACATGATCGAAGAGATTCAAAGTCACAGGCTTTCCAACGGCGGGAGTGGCGGTAATTTTGCTGGGGAAGCGCTGCAGAGAACCAGGTTGCCATTCACAGCTCCCGTCGGTTGGACAGGAGATGACCAGCCCATCCTTGCTCCTCAGGTAAGCAGCCCCTTTAATACCATACCTGTAAGAGAAAGGGCTCGCTTGACAATGAAGATGCCTTTATCCCTTTATATTTACCAGCCAGGAAGCCCATGGGTCAAATACAAGTCACTGGGAAAGCAAGGGGGTCAAACTCAAAGCCTGGTGGACAGATCTGGATTGCGGGGCTGCTCTGGAAACAGTAAAGGACCGGCCCTTGGTGCCTCTACCAGGGAAAACGGAGCTCAGGAAGGCTGCCCGCGGCCCTCCCGAGCTCCATTTTCGCTGGCAGAGGGTTGCAGAGGAGGACGTCGCAGCCGACAATGGAGCTCAGGAGCCTCTTTTTGCTGGCAGAAGCACCGCGGGTTACCACAGGACAGGGACATCAAGCTGGCCCTCCCTCTGAGGTCAAACACAACCCTGATGTGGCCCTCAATGAAATCGAGTTTGACACCCCTGAGTTAAAGGAACCAAAGGAAAGTCTAGATTGGCTGTTGAAGAAAAGAGCACTCTGGATTGGCACCCTGAAGGTCATGTCCCAGATAACCTTATTCGGGGGAGGAAAATGCACTCTGTATCAGAGACTGAGTGTCCTGGCCCAAACCTGGTCCCAAGGAAGCAAACACGAGACCAAGGTACCAGCACAACCTTTTAATGTTTTTTTTACGAATCCCGTTCCTTCATGGTTAAAAGGCTGCTTCAAACCAAGGGTGGGATTCTACAGCTCGCACCTATTCGCTAGAACCGGTTGTTAACCTTCTAAGCAGTTTGGAGAACCGGTTGTTAGAAGAAATTACTGGCCTAATCCGGTAAGGAAGGCAGGAAGGAAACATTCTGGTGTTGCTTACAGAAACTGCCGCTCCGTTAACCCTTATTACATTCTTGGCAGGACTGGACTTTCTGTCTCTGGAACTTCTCTGAAGTTTTTTTCCCCCTCCTTTGCTGGTACTTTGCTTGTGTGGAGTGACCATTCAAAGTTACAATGGCACTGAAAAAAAGTGACTTACGACCATATTTCACACTTACGACTGTTGCAGCATCCCCACAGTCATGATACCATCGTCTCTTGAGACTGAAGGATGCCAATTTGGGACAACCATGACCTGGATCATTGAGAATCTTCACAGCCATGAGTACTAAAAATAGCTTTATTGTTAAGGTTATAGTAACAGAATCTTGAAGTCTGAAAGTCCTTCTCCCTTACTTTTACCTTCCAGAGAACCGGGGTGGGGTGGGTGTGTGTGGCTGTCCCTTCTGAGACACTTCCCACATCTCTTTTCCTTCCGTGGGCTGAGATGCCTTTTGCATGATGTTGTCTCGGCCAGGAGTCAGCAACCCATGCCTCTGGAGCCGCAGGTGGCTCCTTCATCCCTCTGCTGTGTCTCCCTGTTGCTCAAAATATGCGTCACTTATTTTGTGAGACACCCACTGGCCAGCGATTTATTGAGCTTTTCGACACCCAGTAGACCAACCATGGATAAATCCAAGAAAAGTTTCAGAAGAAAACGGAACTTTTAATTCAACTACATGTGGCTGCTCAGGAAACAGTCAGGCCTGGGAAGGGTTTTTATCGCTCCCGATGTTTTCTGTGGGAAATTGGTCCAAATGACTCTGAGTGTTTGAGGTTGCCAATCCCTGGTCTAGGCTACACTTCTTCCTCCTCCTGTCTCCCCAGGTCATTCTCACTTGCCGTTATATGGATTGAGGTCTAAACCACAGCATCTGTGTGGCAGGGACCCTCCTCAGAAGACCGTTAACAGCCCCACTGCCTGCAAAACTTTGCTAGCTGACCCTGGGATCTGTGCAGAACCTCTTCCCAAGTCTCTGAGCTTCGCTGTCTCTCATCTGTTGACTCTTACCTTGACAAAAGTGTTTTCCTGCAATGGATTCAGAACAACGTCTTCCTTGAAATTCTGCCCTTGCTTTCCAGTGCCTTGCCACGCCCACGGCCTTTCCTCACCCTCTTTCCAAGATGCCTCCTCACCTTGGCACGAAGACGAGCACCCCGTTGGTTCGGATTGAATAGATCACGCCGTCCGCTGAGCGCTGCTCCTCCCTTGCAGGACTCTTGTCACTGAAGAACATGCACTGGAAGAGCCCCGTGGACTGTTTCTGAACATGCTGGGCCGCCTTTCCGAAGAAAGCAATTCCAATTAGCCACAGAAGTTGCTCTCAAGACCATTTAGAGCAGGGGGGGGGGTCCCCAACCTTGGCAACTTTTAAGACCTGTGGACTTCAACTCCCAGAATTCCACAAGCCTTAAAGGTGTCAAGGTTGGAGATCCCTGATTTAGAGTCACGGTCTCAGATAGCGTCAAATCCGGTACCTCTGATGCTGCCTGTCCCTTTCTTTGGCTCCTGTCCCTTTGGCAGCAGTATCTGAACTGCTGGTCTGTTCTGTTCCAACAAGCAACTCAGTACCCTTGAAACAGAAAATTCACTGTGGCTATTTAAAATGGAAAATCAGGATTAGAGAGCCAGTTTGGTGTTCCGGTTAAAGCAGCAGGCTAGAATGTCAGCCTTCAAGATTTTCTTCCTCTGCTTTGCATCTTTCGGCTGTCATAAGTAACGGGGGAGAGGAGGGGGGAAAGGTATGGGAAGTGAGCTGGAGGTGTTGCAAACTACTACTGTATAAACTGAGGAGGCGGGAGAGTACATTCTTGCTTGGGTTTCTATTTCTTGCATAGGTTTCTCTTCTCTGCGCAGCTGCAAACCTTTATCGAAGTATGCCAAGGTCAACAGACAGAAGCCTCATCACCACCTGAAGATGTCCACATGATGACATGCACAACTTTTAATTGGAAGAACCATTTGAACTATTGGGGGTGGGAACGTTGCCATCACTTTGTGTCTGTGATTTACGCACCTATTTCCCCAGATTCAGAATTCTTTTGTTGCTACCACTTGACTTCCAGTAAAAGATATATTTTCTCGAATCGAAAGAGTCTAAGTATTTCTTTCTTGGATTTTGAATGGAGCACCAGCTGACATAGAAACTGGGAAGAGAGGGGGGGGGACAGCTAGGGAGGACGAAGAGGGAATCACTAATGCTGAGGTCACTGGCACACAGGAAACGGGACAGACGGGAAGTCCTTCCTGGCTGAAACAGTCACACGGTTAAGTCATGTGGTTTCGTTTAGTTGACTTCATTGCCATTGCACCTCATAAAATGAAATTAAATGTCATCTTCAGTGTACATTATACACAAACTAAAAATAAAACACAAACACACACCCTTCATATTCTATGCAATTGAATTGAAAACCCCTGATACTGCATTAACATTGCACTATGCAGTAGAATTCAATAGAGTTACTGCCCTGGGATGGAAGCTGTTTTTCAGCCTATTTGTCCTTGTTTTTATGATCCTGTACTGTCAGAATATAGTCATTAACTGGCAGAGACATGGTTAATGAAGTAAGCATGGCAACAGACCAGCCAAGGGGAGCTCACAGCCTGGGTGTGGTTTGGCTCTGTGTGCTTTGCTGAGAACTGAAAGTGAAACTAGTCTTGCTTGCTTGCTGAAACTGATATCTGCACTGAGCTGCTGCTGCTGCTTGTGTTTTTGCTTATATTACGTTGACAGAATCTACAAATAGTATTGTAAATTTTACTCATTATTATGTTTATAAAGAAGTTAAGGATCCTGCTTAATCAGTCATCTGTGTGTTTTCTGGACTTGGAATTTATGCTGCAAACTCTAATGTACTGTCTGCCAGATGGTAATAGTTCAAAAAAAGGGTGCCCAGGATGAGATGGATCTTTAAGAATGTTTTGAACTATATATAAAGCTCTTCCAAAGAGGGGAGAGGGCAACCAATGATCCTCTAGGCAATGATGTTAAACCCTCTGGAGTGCTTTCCTATCTGCCACTGTGCAATTGGCAAACCCTACAGAGGTGCAGTAAGTTAAGATACTCTCTGTGGTGCAGCGGTAGAAGGTCACCAGCAGTTTTCCATCCAGTTGTTG